GGGGGGGGGGGCAGCGTCAACACAGTGTCTCGGCTTTGGCGACGGAGACGCGACCGACGCCCGGCTGGACGCCGGCTGAGAGCGCTTGCTGGGTAGGCAACACGAGCCCACGCGTGTCGGGCGCTTGGACGCCCTGGAGCGCCCGGGCGGTAGGCAACGCGCGCGCGCGCGCGTCACTGCTCTGCCTACCCGCCAGGCGCTCCGAGAAACCTCCTGCACGACGGTTCCAGTTACTCCAAATACGCAATCTAATTTGACGGCGATAACAACACCATTTATAAACTGGAACTGACTCCTCCTTTGACACGTGCCCGCAGGTGGAGATCCGCGACGTGTTCGACACCGCCGACGAGCTGACCCTGGTCATGGAGTGGGTCTCCGGCGGCGAGCTGCTGGAGCGCATCGCGGAGCGCGGCTTCTACTCGGAGCAGACGGCGGCCAAGGCGGTGCGGCAGGTCCTGGGCGCGCTGCAGGTGAGCGGAGCGTAGCGGAGCGTAGCGGAGCCCGTCCCACCGGAGGACTTCGAAGGGGGGTCCAAATATGATTGGGTCCCGAAAGGATCAGGCAGGACGGTCGTTTAAGAAGTCATGACTTTTACATGCCGGGGTGTGGGGGCTGCTCCTACGAACGCCGATGACCGCCCTGATCCTTTTGCGACCCTATGATATTTGAACCGCACTCCCCCCCTGAAAGTCCATGTGGGCTGTGAACACCCCGTGACCTCCAAAGGTGACGGGGCACCACCAACCGACCCCCGGGGACCCTCCCATCGGGTCCCACACCAGCACTCACGGCGCACGACACGAAGTTTACCGCGGCGGGCAGAGGCGAGTCGTCCTCCTCGGGGCGCCCTCCTGGGCCCTCTCCACCTCGCACACGCACACTACAGTGCTCCACATGACGTACCGACCCCCCGACCCCCTCCTTCACACGAGTTTGTCACACACGCTGATCAAAGCCCCCGTGGACGGCCGGGTGGTGGTGGGAATGCCCCAGGTGCTCCCGGTGTGCCAGAGTCTGATGCGTGCAGCCCGGCCTGGGCCGCCTCTGGAGGGACGCGGGCTTATACGGCGGGGAAAAGGCGGGAAAAGGGCACGGGTCGGGAGGGATTTAAAATAAATACATGAAAACAGTGCCGCACTTTTGAGGAGAATAAAATAGAAACAAACCCAGAGCGCGAGTTCCACGCACTGGCGGTGATGACATTAATTTGCTTGACCGCTATAGAACGAACTGCTGGTAAAGTATCTCTTATTTTTTATTTTTTTAAAAAGAAGGAAAAAAAAATAGTGCACACGCAACACAACTACATGAAATCAAATAGGTACAGCGTGTGTGTTGGAATTGGAGCTTCAGGACACCCCTAACCCCCAGTGCGCGGGACCGAAGCATCTGCACGGTCTGCACCCCCCCCTCTCTCTTTCCAGTTCACAGAGCAACGTCAAATTCTTCTCACTTTCAATCTGTCTTCTTCCTTTTGTTATCTTTATAAAGTGTACACAATCGCGCGCTGATAGTGGCACACGTTCGTATAGTTCCGTCCCGTCGGTGCTAATGAGCGGCTTAAGTATTTCACGAGGGCGGGCGCCTGGTGCACTCTCTCTCTATCCCCCCCCCCTTACCACCCGACAACTTTAGGGGGAAGAACTGTTTGCTCCGGTTTTGGGTCCGGGCCTCAAAGGCCGGCCTCGCCCTCCCCGCACAAAGGGACCCGGGCCCTGCCCTGCCCTCCTCCAAGATGTCTCTGTCGCCCCAGCGCCCCCCGCAGGCCCTTGTGTTTGTCAGAGTATCACGGCCCGGCCCCCCTCCTTCCACAACACCGAGTCGGTCCCCTTGGGCGGTATATTGGATTATTTGCTCAATAAACCGAGATATTTGGCCAGTGAAGGCGGTCTTGGAGAGAGCACCCGTTGGTAAATATCTGTCGCCGCACGATTCGATTTTTTGAGCGCGAGTTTTTGATTGTTTTTTGTATATTTTTGTTGTTGTTGTTGCAGTGTTTGCATTCCCGCGGCCACGCGCACCGCGCGCTGCGGCCCGAGAAGCTCGTGTTCGCGTCCGAGGCCGAGGACTCCGCCATCAAGCTACTGACGGCCGGGCTGGGCGTCAACAACCTGCTGCCCACGGCGCCGCCCTACTGTGGTAACCGCACGAGCACACTCGACGAGAGAATGCTCAATTTCCGTTCTCAATGCGTGCTCGAGGGACAAAAAAGCAGCGCGCATTCATTTATTATTTCCCTTGCTCCCGCGAGTTTCCAATTCCATTTCGCTGATTGTGTGTGTGTGGGGTGTGTTCTGTTCCAGCCCCGGAGACGAACAAGGGCGCGGGCGCCGGCCCCGCCTCCGACATGTGGAGCCTGGGGGTGATCGCCTACATCCTGTGAGTGCCGGACGGCCATGTGGGCGCGGCGGCGGCTGTACCCCGCGCGAGCCGCGAGCCGACTGGGCGCGTGGGGTATAGCCGGCCGTCGCCGTGACGCGTTGCCCCTGTCGCTTTTTTGCAGGCTGTGCGGCTTCGAGCCGTTCGCCGGGGAGAACGGGTCCGCATCCGAGCCCCTGCACCAGCACGCCCTGCACTTCCCCGCGCCGTGGTGGGACGAGGTTTCGGACAGCGCCAGGGATCTCGTCACGCAGGTACCTGTCACGGGACCTCACTACCTGTCTCCATATTGGTCACTAAATGTCACTATTTTTGTCACTAAATATCACAATTTTTTGTCACCAAATGTCATTATTTTTGTCACTACCTGTCTCTATATTTGTCACTGTCTTCCACTACCTTTCATTTAACCCACCGCACTTCCTTTCACTGGACCCTCTACTACCCTATCACTACCAGTCACCACCAGTTGCTACCAGTAATTACCCGCCACTACCTGTTGGTACCAGTCACTACCGCACAACGTTCTCTGACGGCCCCCTTCTCCCGTTTCAGCTGCTGCAGACGGACCCCGCGGCCCGCCCGACTGCTGAGGAGGCGCTGCAGCACCCCTGGGTGCGCGGCGACACCCCTCGCACCCAGCACATGGACGCCACGGTGCGCTCCCTGCGGGAGTTCAACGCGCGCAGGAAGTTCCGGGTGAGTCACTGAAAACGATCACTATCCTAGTAACTTTATCGTTGTCATGCCGATCTTAAATTTCCAATATAATCATGAGAACTATTGTAACATTCACAATCCCAAACAACAATAATTAAACCAATTGTTTTGTAAATATTGCAGGCTGCGACGCAGGCCGTGGTGGCGACGCAACGCCTCGTGTCCCCCGAGAAGAGGCTGTCCCGGGTGCTGGGCCATGTCAGCCCCCAGGAGGAGACACCCCCGCGCGCGAGCGATGAGCGGCCGGGGAGGTGTTAGCCGAGCGAGTGCCAACCAGACTGTGATGTGATTTCGACGATTAGGGTGCGGCGAGAGTGAGTGTGTGTGTGTGCTGATCGGGCGCGAGAGAAAGAAAAGGAGTGTTTTTGTCTTCTCATATGTGTTTGATTCGAAAAAAACCTAACTTTTGTCTTGATACGTGTTTTCTTATTTAAAGCTTCAGCTATTGTATCTCAAATACATCCTTTCTGTAGTGTAAGCTTATTTTTAATTCGTGATGAGCTGTGCTAGTCGTTGAAGTCTTAATAATTACTATTCATTTAATATTTTTGACATCGTTCTTTGTAAATATTCTAATTGTTGTATAATTTGTTCAGTGTTTTTCAGAATTATAT